AATCTGATTATCTCATCTTCTACTTTTTATATTTTATCTACTCATATTATTATTTTGGGCAATAGTTCTGTGACTTGGATATCTATATTCGTCTATGAACTTGCTCATAACGGATCTCGAACTTGTGTACTAGGGGTCGTATCTTGGAGTCTTGTAGACCGCCAATACCTACACGTGTAGAGAGGCTGCAAAGGCTTTAGGACAACATCTTTGACGTGTTTCACGGTACAAAGCTCATCTTCTTACTTATAATTTATTTTGCTTTTACTTAAATATCAATTTGTTTTTCTTCAGTTTCATTGTACCTTAAAAGCTTTCCAATTTGTTTATATGTTATTTATAATAAAAAGGTTCGTATTTGATTTTACGAAAAAAGAAAACTATAATTTCTTATAACATAACATATACAAGTACTACGCTATATTGAATCAGCCCCCGCATATTTCTTTTAATTTCTTTAAATAAATATGTATCCTTAGCAAAAAGCAAATTTCAGCAAATGTACTGCTGAAAGACACTTTGCTTTGCAAACATAAGAGCAATATTTAATATATCTTATGTAAAATTGCAATTTCAATCTCATGTTTAGAGTCTGTTAAATTGCAATTTCAATCTCATCTTAATAAGACAAATGAGGTCCAACGGCTAGGATTGATAGACGATAATAAATTATAGTCGTTAGATTCATCTAAAGGCTGTTAGTTAATATCAAATATTTACAAATATTTAATTTATTAATTTATTAAATTATATTGTGGTATACATCAATCTTTGGATTTGCGGAACCGTGTCGCCAATAGCAAATTGTGGTCGGTCCAAAAAATCACAATTTTTGGTCTGTTTTCCGGATATGATGGTTTCATTGTGGTGAAAATGTGGTTGGTTTTCCTAGGGGTGGTTGCGGTTCGGTAACCGCGAATTTTTACTCAAACCGCAAACCGACCGACTATTTGCGGTTTGGTGATTTTTGAAACCGTAAACCGACCGCATTTTGCGGTTTACTGCAAAAACTGCAAAATGCGGTCGGTTACCGCAAATTAGCGGTTTAAAACCGCGAGTTCTTAAGCATTCACAAAAATATAAATTCACAACCTAAATAAATAAATACACAACCTCAATTTCTCAAACATATATAAATTCACAATCTCATCAACTTCTCAAGCATTCACAACCTAAGAAAATTAAAGTTACAATTCCAAGCATTCCAATTAAAGTTAAACTTCTCAAGCATTCCAATTCCAAATCCTTTAAAGTTATAAACCAAAAGGAAAATGCAAAGTAAAATGAATTAAAGTTATAACAAAAAAGAAAATCCAATTCAAAGTTAATTAAAGTTACAAACTAAAAGGAAAATGCAATGCACCAATGTTACAAACTAAAGTTACAAACTCAAGTGTTGGTGGTGAATGGATTTGAAGAACCCCGTTGTGTTATTTGAGCACCAATATTATTTACAAATAAAACAACGTAGTTTAGTACATTTTATTATAAGAAAAAGCATAAATAACATTAGTATAAATAAATTAATTACTTACAAGTTGTCATATGTTCCATTTCCTTGTA